ATTTAAATTGTATTTTTTATTATCTTCTGTAAAGCTATAATATGTTTAGAAGTAATATCAGATAAAGTTTCACCACATCTAAAAGATGTGTCGATGCTTTGCTCAGCCTTTGTCATGAGTTTATCGTCAATATAATATTCATTTTCACTTTCGTCATTTGGAGAATAATATATATCAAATGCTTTTTTGGTGTTGGAACTTTGCTCCCGCTTCGTGTCGTATCTCTTTCTTTAATAATTTCAGAAGTATCTATTTGTTTTAATGGGTCCGTCTTTGTAGTTTGATTTGTTTTGTCTGAAGATAACAAATTTTTGAAAAATGTTTTTAATGACTTTGATTTTGATTGAGAAGTATTATCTGTACTCATTTATATTAAGATATAAATAAAAATATATTATTTATACGTTACTAAATATATTATTATTATAGTAATATAACAGTATTATTATAATAACTATAAAAATAACATACTCAATAGATGTCTTCAGATAAGATGTAAAATTTGTTACTTTGTTTTTACAGTTTATGAAAACATCAGAACTACAGTTCGTACGGACCGTAAATATCTATTATATTAACATCAATGTAATTTCATTAACGTAAAATATTTTTTCATCTTTTCCTTTACAATAACCATAATCCATAAAGTTTTGAAATTTTTGATAATTATCTTTATTATTTAAACACATCGATATTTCATAACCTTTTTGAATAACATTAGGACTAACATAATATTTTACAATTATATCTTTTATATTATTATTTCTAATAAACTCTTTAAGTATTCTTTAAATTTATTAATTCTTGTTTTAAATTTGGAAGAATCACATTCTAAGTTAGCTACAACTTTATATCTTCTTCATTATAATAAACATAATCATCTATATCTTCACTTGATTCATCATCAGAATAATCACGATTTTCTATAATATCTTCATCATGCTTCGGCATGAGTTTCTCGTCACTAGATTCACTTACATGTTCACTTTCAAGTTCACTAATATTTTCAGAATCATCTATAAATTCATCGATATCTTCATCTGTATTTAAATTATATAATAATTTTACGGACCTACGGTCCTCAGGTTCGAAGAACCGTAAAGGACAAAGCTCGATATACTTTCTAAACGCTTCATTCATATACTGTTCCGTCATTTTAATAAAGATAAAAAATTACATTAATATAAATTTACTATATATAAATTTTACACCGAACGGATACTGGAGCTTTGTTCCCGCTTCGCGTTGTGTCTCCGAAGAATCGAAACGAATGTGAGATTCTAGAGACATCAAAGATGTCGATATTTTGGAAAAATTCATATTCGCGTCCCTCGCTATTTAAATAAAGTATTATAAAATATAGATAAAATGAGCTCCCCCCTAAATCCACAGAATTTATATACTACTGGGTGTTAAAGAAAACAATTAAAATTTTAATTTTTTTATTTTGCGTATTATTGTTGAACAGCGTATTATTCATGTTTATTCAAAATTAGTAACACAACTTAAATTGTTGTGTTATTTATAATGCAACAATCTTAATTAAATGCTGTTCAAATACAACGTTGAAAAATAAAATAAAGTACTATAACTGTACAGTCACAACTCTAAAAACTCTTCTTTTATCTTTTTTATTTTATTTTTTGGAAATAATTTCTAAATTTCTTTAAAATAAACGTTATCACTGCTATTTTTCATTCGTCTTTATGTCTTTCGAATTTTTGAATAACAAGCTTTATTTCGTTAACTGTACAACTTTAAGATTCAAATGTACATAAATAACATTTTGTATAAATCATTATATTTATATATTATTTCAAGAATAGTTACTATTCACATTTGATGTGTGTATATTTATATATCAAATTAAACCCTAGTTGTATCATATTTAATAAAAAACTACACACAACATAAATATCAAATAATAATTAAAATATACCTAAATCTAATTGGACGATATTATTTTTTGTTAATATTCTTTGAAAATTCACCGTGTCAAAAAGCATATATATTCACATTTAATAACTCGAAAATTCAATGATTTCAACTGTTTTTATTTTGCTCTATATCTTAATTAACAGCTCGATTGCAACATGCAAATTAGAGTATGATAACAACAATTGTGTCTTTATTTCAAATCAAATTGATTGTGAGGGGGAATTAATTATTCCAAACACCACTTCATGTGCTGGAAATCAAGCTTTTTACAATACAAATTTAAGAAAAATAACCTTTGAATCTGAAAGTAAAATCAAAATAATGAGCAATGCATTTCAATCATCGAATAAACTTGAAGAAATAATTGCCCCCGGTGGATTTGAAAGTGTTGGTGTTGGAGCGTTCAAAGATTGTATTAGTTTAAAAACAATAGTTGGCTACCAAAATACAACTGTGTTTGGGAAAAATTGTTTTCAAAATTGTTTATCTCTTCACAACTTTACTTTCAATGAACAAATGATGTTTGATGAATATGCTTTTGCTGGTTCTGGTTTAATATCAATTGATCTCACTCATATACAAATGTCAATATCAACTTATTTTTGTAGTAATTGTGTCAACCTTCACTATGTAAATTTGGGTTCAAATCAAGTCATTAATTCTTATGCATTTGCTAATTGCAGTTCTCTAAGTCAAGTTGACACTATTAATGGATTAAAAATAGTTAATACTTCCGCTTTTATGAATGACCCAATTATATCTATTCGTATAGCTGATGATGCAGAACAACTATTTTCATGTGCCTTTAGTGGAACAAAGTTGAGAAATTTAAAATTGCCCAATAAATCAATTATATTAGAAGATAGCGTGTTTTAAAACATAACAACACTTGAAAGTGTTAATTTGGGATCAACTGTAATAATTCCAGTTCGTTGTTTTTATGGATGTACAAATCTCAAAACAATTACTGGACTTGCTAATGTAACTAGTTTTGGATCTTACTCATTTAGTTACACCAAAATCACAGAGGTTGATATCAGTAAATCCGCAGTTTAAAATGACAACGCTTTTAGTTATTGCAAAGATCTTATCAAAGTCACTTATTCTGGTGTTGTAACTTCATTACAAAAAGGATTGTTTTATGAATGTTCGAAACTTTCCCAAAATGGAATTAATATTTTTAACAACATTATTTCATTTGGGGATGAAGCTATGGCTAAGAGCGGAGTCACAGAACTTGAAATAAAAGAAAATGTTACATATGGGACTAAGATATTTCAAGGGTGCCAGAATCTAACAACAGTGACAGTTGTTGGGACTCAGGCAGTGATATCGAATAACATGTTTTATCACTGTCGCAATTTAAATAACGTGAAAAACATGGAAAATATTTATAAATTTGGAGTTGGTGCTTTTGCAGAAACTGGGAAAACAACTACCAAATTGAATAACCATGTAGAAGACGGAGATGTGTCGTTGTTTGAAAACTGTAATTCATTGAAAACAGTTGATTTAAATAATGTTGTTAATATTCCAAGTAAATTTTTTTCTGGTTGTTCATCACTTAGTACTGTTATTGGTATTGATTCGGTGACTGTATTTGGTAATTATTCGTTTGCATACACCGCATTGTCTTCTTTTATCGCATCAAGTGATTTAAATGAAATTAAAGAATACGCTTTTGCGCATTCTAAATTACAGACAACAACTTTAAAAAATGTAATCGAACACATTGGTACTTACGCATTTTATGACTGCGAAGAGCTCACTTTTGTTGACTTGAAAGGATTGTTAGAAATACCAGCTGGTACATTTAAAGACTGCTCCGTGCTAAAAACAGTCACTGGATTTGAAAATATCACTTCTTTTGGAAATTTTTCATTTGCAAACACCTCATTAGAAAAAGTAATTATCAACACACAAAGTAGTGTCACTTTGGGTTCAAACTTCTTTCAAAATTGCAAATGGTTAATGGATGTCAATCTTGGAGCAATAAATAGTCTTCCAGATTACACTTTTGATAACTGTGTATTGCTAAAACAAAAACCAGAAAGTGCTGATAGTGATCATATCAATTTTGAGTCTTTTAATACAATAAATACATTTGGAAGGTATTCAATGAGAGGTACCGGTTTAACTAAAATCTCTTTGATAAATGGGAATACATATATTATCAATGAAGGAGCTTTTGCCAACATAACATCGTTAACTTCTGTAAATTTTGGAACAAACACGCTTGCTATTCCAAATTACTTATTTTTGGGATGCACCTTTTTAAAAACAGTTGAAGGAATTGAGAAAATAACATCTTTTGGTGACTATGCATTTGCAAATACAGGTATTACATCATTTGACTATACAGATTTAACAGTCACAACATTATCTGTTGGACTTTTTGCTGGTTGCAAATATTTGAATAAAATAACTTTGCCAAATTCAATTACTTCTCTACCAGCTTATTTCTTTAAAAATTGCGTTTCTTTGACTCTTGATAACATTAATGGGTTTAATCAAGTCAACTCATTTGGTAAGTATTCAATGAGTGGTATGCAATTTACTGATCTTGTATTTAACTCGACAAAAATTTATCAATTTAGCGAAGGTGCGTTTAAAAACTGTGAGAAGTTAGTAAATGTCACTTTAGGAAACATTAAGGCAATAACAAAATTTATGTTTGATGGATGCACATCATTAAAAACAGTTGATGGGTTAGATAATGTAAATTACTTTGGTGATTATTCGATGAGAAGTACCAAAATCACTCAAATAAAGTTTTCTAGTGGTTTTGAATTTCCAAATTTAACCGAAGGAATATTCCAGAATTGCACAGAGTTAATTTCAGCGGATGTGAAAGTACTTTATTACTTAACGGCCCATTTATTTGAAGGGTGCATCAAATTAACAAATTTATCAAATACTGATTATTTATGGTCAGTTGATGCAAACTCACTTGCGTATACTAATTTAAGTAATATATCATTTATTAATAGATTTGAAATTATCAATAGCGGCGTTTTTGAAGGAACAAAAATCAAAAGCGTTGATTTGTCTACGATATCCACTTTAAGTAAAAATGCATTTAAAAATTGCGAACTTTTATCAGAAGTTAACAATATGGATGCGGTTGTCAATTATAATATTGGAATGCTTGAAAACACCAATATTACAGAATTTACATTAAGTAAAACAGAAATTAAGAGTTACCCAACTCAATTAACAAATGAAGAAACAATATTTGGCACCACGAAAATTCGAAAGGTGACAAATAAAGGAATAAAAATAATAAAAAGCAGATTATTCAGAAACATTGAGACTTTAACCGAGATTGTTGGATTTGAAAATGTTCATTTTGAAGACAACTCGTTTGAAAACACTGGACTGGTTACACTCACTTTAAATTCTTTACAATCATTTGGCAAAGAAGTTTTCAAAGGATGCAAGAAGTTGAAAAAAGTTGATTTTGGTGGACTTCAATATGTCGCTAATGGGATGTTTAAAGACTGTATTGAATTGGATGAACTTGTGAATATTCAAAATATCAAATATATTGACGAACACGCTTTCAATGGATGTACGAAATTAACTCAGATTCAATTGAATAACGTTGTGTATATCCAGTCATTAGCATTTTCGAATGATTTATTGTTTGTTTTTTCTAATGTCGTAAATAAAGTGTTTGGCTCAGAAGACTCGTTTGATCCCACAACACGTGTTTATGTTTCTAAGCGATACACCGACAATTATTTTGCGAATATATTTATTGGGAAAATATCATGTGGAGCGAACGAATACTTCAACAACTCGATTAATCCACCCATCTGTTCAAATTGTTTAACTGGGACTTATGCAGTTGAAGGTGCTTCTGCTTTTTGTTCTCCTGATTTAAATGGTTGTTTTGCAAATGATTCTAATTGTGCTGTATGTAATAATTCCATTTGTAGTACATGTAACTCAAATTATTCATTGAATAATGAAGGGAAATGCGTTTCGTTTAATTGTGGTGATGGTGTTTTTACAAATGGGAAATGTGTAGTTGATTGACATACAATCAAGAGTCTGTTAATGATAAATGTGTAGCAAAATGTGGTGTTTTGGAGGAGCGAGTAAACGGTGTTTGTCTGACAAAATGCAGTGAAACACAAAAAGAAAGAGTGAATGATGTCTGTGTTGATAAGTGTGATGAAGACCAACAAAGATATAGAGACTTGTGTTATCAGAGATGTTCGGATGATACTGAGATGATTAGTAAAGGTATGTGTGTAAACAAATGTGTGGAAGGCGAAGAAAGAGTGAATGACGTGTGTCAAAAAACATGTCCAATTACACAAGAATTTGTTGATAACGTTTGTGTTGATAAATGTAAAACTTATATGGTCAGAATAAACAAAACATGTACATTAAATTGTCCAAGTAATATGGGGCCAAATTCGAACTTCGACGGATGTGAAACAAAATGTCCAGAAGGGCAGATTTATATAAATGGGAAGTGTTATCCCGAATGTGAAGAGGGTTGGGAATATGTTGAAACAGAAAGTGTATATGAATGCAAAAAGAAGTGTAAAATCGAAACTGAAAATAGACAAACTTCAAGTCCTTTTGAATGTGTTTGTAAATCCGATTTTGAAATTGTTGATTCTGTTTGTACAAAGAAGTGTTTGGATACAGAAGAACGGGTTATAGACAATACTTGTAAAATGAAATGTGATGCAACTAAGTTTGAAATTAGAGAAGAAATAGCTCCATATGGATGTATATGTGACACTGATCATACAAAGGTTGGAGATAATAGTTGCATGATAAAATGCGAAGAAAATAAGACGTATACCACTACATCTCCTTATACATGCGAGTGTAAAAATGGATATGAAACAATTACCAGTGGAAATTGTAAACTTAAATGCGATGCAACCAATTTTGAAATAAGAGATACAAACACACCATATGAATGTATATGTCATCCTGATTATGAGAATATTAATGGTATTTGCAAGGCAAAATGCTTAGATAATGATAATAAAATTCGTGATGTAAACAGCCCTTATGAATGTGTATGCATAGAAGGAGCATTAGAAACATCATCAACAACATGCACTTGTCAAACTGGAAATGAAGTCTATCACAATGGAAATGGATTTAAATGTGTTCAGCAGTGTGACACGACAATTCAAACTCGCAATGAAACAACATTGAACTGTGACTGTAATGATAGAACAAAAGAAAATGTTGGTAAAAAGTGTTTAGAAAAATGTGATGCAAACACACAAAGACGAGATGCTCAAGGAATGTGTATTTGTAAAGACGACAGAGAAAAAGATGTTCAACAAACTAACAAATGTGTGTGTAAGAAAGATGCGTATGATGAAATTAACAATGTTTGTTACACAAAATGTGGAGATAACATGACACGTGATGAAAATAATCCATCAAATTGTGTATGCATTATAACACATGAAAGTGTCAAAGGAAAGTGCCTTGAAAAATGTGAAACGAATTATGAAAGAGTAGATGAAAAATGTATCAAAGTTTCATGTGAAAATGGTTACGAACTGAATAACGGACAATGTGAGAAGATTTGTGGTGAATTTGAAACTTTGATCAATGGTAGATGTGGACAAATTGTTTGTACACCTGGTCAGTTCATTACTCCAGAAAAAACATGCCGAAATTGCAAAGCAACTTATGAAGATAAATGTGGCACCAGTGAGTGTATTCAATGTACTGAAAACAGTTGTTTGAATATATTCATTTTGAATACAATAATTATCGCATTGGTAATGATAATTTAAATGAAAATTAACATTTATGTTAAAAACCCAAATATATAAATTATTTAAATTGTTTCCATTTAATCGATAACACATTATTTTAAACATGGTACGGTAATCTATGGCTTTTATTCTGTCTTTGCAAAGTATTAATTTTGATTTATAATCTTGACCAATCACACCCCAAACTAATAAACTCGAATTATATTTGGGTATTTGTTGTGTTGTTCTTTTAAATGTGTTAATGTTAATTCTTAGTTTCCATTTTGTTGTTGATTTGTTCAAAAATTTTCGATTTTTTTGTCGCATCTAACATTGTTTTCTATATGGAAACAAACAAAATCTTGACTCATCTGACATGATAGCAGATTCATATTTATTGATGTTTCTTTTTGAGCTACGATTTGCAAAATTGTACTAGTTTATAATATGTTTTTCTGTCAATATCTGTGTCGACTTTTGTTTATTATACTTGAATTTTTGTCTTTTCCATATGTAATAAATAGTTTAATCCAAAACGTTTGCGGTTTGTGCCGATTTACAACAAGGTGAAAATTGGTTAGAAGTGGTTTGTTTTTCAACCATTTGACATACCAACTCTGTTCTCTTATTTGGTCTCCCTCTTTTATTTAAATGAGTTACAATTTTTCATGACAACACCTTCTTAATCCTTGATATTGAGTTCGGCGAAACATTCTAAAATCTTTGGATTGAAGAATATGATCACAGTTTTGTTGTTATTTTAATATAAATTTATCAATCGTTTTAATTGATATTCAAAGTTGTGTTTCTTTTTTTATTTGTAAATTTTATAAAAACGTCTTTTAATTGTTTTTTTCAATATTGTCTTTGATTGTTGTTTTATTATTATTATTTGAATTATGTTTTTAATAATAACAAAAACAATGATTTTAACATTAATATGCTTTATTATTAAATAAAACAAAACAATTTTCAAAAGTGTTTATTTATTAAGCTTTAAAAACTTTTATTTTAATAACACACATATAACTACCATTATCTTTTTTGACAAACCAATCACTTTCTTAATAAAAATTCAAAGTAAAATCAATGAAAACAATACATGTCTTTATTTAAATCAGATTTCTCAACAAAATGTAAGTTTTTAAAATCATCAAATTAAAAGGTTTTCAGTTTGTTTACTTCGAAAGGAAACTATTAATTGTTCTAGTATTTTAAATATAAAGTTGTGCATTTTCTAAGGTTATTATAAAAGAAGTTGTTGATTTCAAACAAGATGTTTTCTTTGTTTTTATAATCGAATGTAATAAAATTTTGAATAATGTTGAGTGAGTTAATCTCCACATCAATTAGAAATATACTTGTCAGAATCGAATTATAGGGTTTTGTTTTCTTAATTTAAAAATAATTTGTTTATGTATTGTTTAGAATGTTTTATAGAAATGGCAAACGTCAAAAAAATTGATTATTCGAGTATTTGTTTGCTTTGTTCTTTTGGTTTTTACATTTTTGAGCCAAGACTATTCCAATTGCTTTATTAAATACAAATTGCACGTTTTCTTGACTTAAAGCAGAGCACTCGATGTATTTGTTAGCGCCAATGCGTTTTGCAACATCCAGCCCCTCTTCTGTCGTTATGATATGTGTTATTTTTGTATCGAGTTTGTTGATGGTGTCCTTGTCATACCCTTAAATCAGTTTGT